ATGACAGATCTCACATTAAAATCCAGGTATTCTTGGCGGGCCTGGGTGGTACACTCAGTTAAGCAGCGATTCTTGGTTTTGGCTTAGGTCATGACCTAAGGCTGTGGTATTGAGCCCCATGTGGGGCTTGGCCCTCAGCACGGAGGCTGCTTAAGATTTTCTCTCTTCCTATCCCTCTGCCCCACCCCCAGTACTCTCCCCCACTTCTCCCTCTCTCTCTTTCAAATAAATAAGTAAATCTTCAAAAAAAAAATGCAGGTATTCTGTTTTTCAGAGCCTAGTTTTTAGTCAGGCTGGTAGTAATCACAAATAATTCAAAATATTATATGATTTGGTGAGCTAAATTAATTGAGACATTTCAGACACTAAAATACTTAGGTTCTCATCAGGATTCTAAACTCAAAATATTTTAATATGTCATTGTAGATTATTTTGAAGAACTTTACATAGTACGTGAAATCATTTAGTTCTCATCATAATTGGAAGGTGAAAATAAATCAGGAATTATTGTCCATGGGAAATCTGATTTTATACAACTACCTAAATTTTTTTGATTCTTAAGTCATTACTGTTAGCTTTACTCCATGCAAATGATCTAAATATGAAAGTTTTGTGTTTGAGTATATTAAGAGATTCAGTTGATTTTAGTGATGTTATATAGTTTCCACAAAATAGTCTGACCAAAAGAGAGTTAAATTCCTTTTGCTAAGATCCACTGAAAATTGTAAGCTCTGTCTCTCTGTCAGTGGGAACTGTGTTAGAAAAAATGAAATTGAACACCAGGGGTAAGTAACAAACCTTACCCATATACTATCATGGCAGAAACCTTGGGTTTTCCCTTTTGGTGATCTCTCTTTTAAAGAAACAAGAAATACATGATAAATGTTTTTCTTAAATAAATCACAGCTTTGAAAAGTGGTTGATATAGCCTGAGGTTCTATTGGGAAAATAACAAATCTGTGTCCCACTGTTTTTGTCTAGCAACTGAATGAGGCATATATATATATATATATATATATATATATATATATATATATATGCCTGTAGGAGATAGAATATGAAATGGACATTTGAAAAAAGTTTACTATATCTTGATGGAGTCACAAATATAATCATAATCAGACTTGCCTTATATTTTATATTCAGTAAAATTAATTTCAAAAATATTTGTAAGTATATGTCTCCTTATAGAATTAGAGTTAATAAAGAATGGTAGCAGAGGGACTACAATCATTAAGGTGTGTGTTATTTGAGTATCTGGGAGGATGATTTTTTGAAATATATTTAAAATCGTGAAAATTTAGAATTTCCCCCCAATATTACATATTATATTATTGCCTGCTCCTTTCACAAACCATATAAGGAAGGCACAGAAATTTAAGAATATTCGATACTTGTAATTCCTCTTCTGGCTCTGTGGCAAATGTGTGTAAAGAATTCTAAGCTTTGATAACATGACCATCTCTCTTATTTCTTCAAGTACATAAAGTTTTGTGGGTTTTTTTTTAATAATTTTTGTTTTGTTTTGCTTTGATTTTAGTGGAGGGAGAGAGACTCTCAAGCAGACTCCTTGCTGAGCACAGAGCCCAATGCAGGGTTTGATTTCAGGACCCTGGGATCATGACCTGAACCAAAATCAAGGGTCGGACAGTTAACTTATTGAGCCATTCAGGCACCACTTAACAGAAGTTTCATTGTAGATTTACATTCAGTTGTGAGAGATAATATGGATAGGTCTCATGGACCCTTGATCTAACCAGCATCTTACAGAGATATCATGACTAGGAAGCTGACAGTGATGTAGCCCACCAATCTTATTTGGTTTTCACCAGTTTTACATGTACTCGTCTCTGTGTGTGTGCATATGTGTGTGTTTAGTTCATGTGTATTTCATGTGTGATGTATCCATTACCACAGACAAAATACAAAAAATTCCATCACTGCAAGAATCTCTTGTGCTGTTCTTTTATAACCATATCCTCATCCCTCGCACTCCCTCCTACCCTTTACTATCCTTAACCCTTGATAAACACTAATTTCTTTTCCATATTTATCATTTTATTATAAAGACACTAGATAAGTGGATTTCATCTGCATTTATAGAGTTTTTGAGTGTTTTACTTTGTATATTTTCTTTTTTTTTTTTTTAAAGATTTTATTTATTTGACAGACAGAGATCACAAGTAGGCAGACAGGCAGGCCAAGAGAGTGCGGGAAGCAGACTCCCTGCTGAGCAGGGAGCCAGATGCAGGGCTCGATCCCACGACCCTGAAATCATGACCTGAGCTGAAGGCAGGGGCTTAATCCACTGAGCCACCCCTGAAGGCAGGGGCTTAATCCACTGTGCCCCTACTTTGTAGATTTTCTTAGTAGTTGCCCTAGGTATTGAAATATATGCATGTGACTTGCCATAGTCTACTAGGAGCAATGGTTTACTACTTTGAGTAAAGTGTGGAAATCTTACTTATTTTCAATCCCTTTGCCCTGCCCAGTTTGTACTTGTCTTGAGGTTTCTTTCTATATTTGTTCAGCATTGTATCAGTTGATGTTGTAATTTTTGTTTCAACCATCATATAACGAAGACGACCAAAGAAGACGACCAAAGAAGGATACTCTGTATTGGATTTACCCCGGTTTTTGTTCTTCCAGTTGATCTTTTTTTCTTTCCTGATGCTCCAAGATTCCTTTTTTTCAGTTTCTAGAACTTTATTTAACTTTTCAAGACAGATCTACTAGATAAACATGTTCTTAGTTTTCCTTCTTCTAAGAATACCTTTATTTCCTCTTGATTCCTGAGGGTTAGTTTCCCTGGATGAGAATTCACCATTGATAGTTTTTTTTTCTTTCAGCACTTGAATAATGTGTCACTCCCTCTGGTCTCCATAATTTCAAATGAGGACCCTGTTGTCATTTAAATTGGTATTCTCTTGTAGGTTATGGCTGCTTTCAAGATTTTTTTTTTGCCTTCTAGTTTAATGTTGATGCATTTGATACGGACTTTCTTGGGTTTATCATATTTGAGATTAGTTCGTATTATTGATTCAGTACATTTATTTCTTTAGGCAAATTTGAAGTTTTGGACCAGTATTTCTTCAAAAACTTTTTCAGTCCCAGTCTCTTTCATTTATTTGAGACTTGTGTGTTACCAATATTGGATATATTTGGTTATTGTCCCACAGGTCCAAGTCTCTCTCTCTCTCTCTCTTTTTTTTTTCCCCCAACCTCTTCTCTTTTTCTTATTCAGATTGAGTGAATTATATTGCTTTATCTTTATTGATTCCATCCTCTGTTTCATCTCTACTGAATTATCAAGTCAATCTAGTGAGTTTTTACTTTGGTTATTGTATTTTTTGGCTTCTATAATTTTCATCTGATTCCTTTTTTTATAACTTCTTTACTGAGATTTTCTATTTTTTTGTTTCAAGATAATTAGTAATTGATTGTGGAAGTATTTTTATGGTGGCTTCTTTAAATTATTTGTCAGGTAATTACATTTGTTTCAACTCAGTGTTGGTGTCTATTGATTATTTTTTCTCATTCAGGTTATGATTTTCCTGGCATTTGGTGTGATATCACATCCTGGACATTTTAGTATTATGTGAGGAGACTCTGGATTCTACTTTAATTTTTCTATTCTAGGAAGCAGTCATCCTGTTTAGGTTCAGCATAAAGTCCTAGGTGACATTTTCAGGTAATGGTTCAACCAACAATTTGCTTTTCAAAGCCAAACAGTGCTATTTAGTCAGCTTGAGGTGTCTAGTTCTATTGGAGGTTGAACTGGTCTCCACTGGTGTCACTTAAGGAGGCAGAGGAGCTCCCCAAGGTCAGGTTGCCTGATGACTCTAGCAGGGGTAAGTTGTTCTCTAGTTCATGGGAGATCACTTTAAGGGCTGGGTATTTGTCCGAGATGGCTCACCCCTCAGCCCCTGCTGCCCAATTGATCACTGTCTGTAGACATTGAAAGGGAGTCTCCAGTCCAGTGGAGAAAGAGATGGCTTTCCATGACCACATGTAGGCAGTGATGCTCCCACATGCTTCCCCTTGCAGGTGGCCCAGTCTCTCCCAGAGATACTGGCAGGACTCCCATTTGTTATGTGATAAAAAATGAGTTTACCTAGGCCACCTGCTGTTGCTAGGTTGTGATTGGGAAAAGTCAGGCCTCAACTGCCTTTTATTATTGGCTAGGGAACCGCTGTGTTGTTCCTCAGGTCTCACTGTCCCTAAACTAGTCCTCTTTCCTCTTTCAGAATGCTCCTTTCTTTGCCTTTTTCTTAACTCTGAGCTTTATAGCTGTACTTAGTAGGAAATATAATGATATTTAAATTTTTTAATATTTTTCCAAAAATGAATCAAGAGGAGCATAGTAAGAGATCTTCTGTGGAAAAATAAACAAAACAAAAAGCTCTGTGATAGAAAAGGTGGTATGAACCAAAGAATATATTAAAAGTAACAGATGGTACACTAGAGGTTGCAATCAATGAGAGCAAATTTAAACATTCAATACCTTATAGGTATTTTTCAGTTTGAAGTCAGCTCAGGTTTATAGGATGTTCAACAGGTTTCTCTACTGCAGAGAATATGCTTTTAATATGCTAATGTTCATTGTTGGTCTCTTGGAAGGAATACAGCAATCATAGTTTTCCCAAATTTATCTGTGCATAAAAGTGAAACCTTCTGTTTATCGTGTTTTTGGTACTAACATTCCATGAAAGCCTGTGGAGGAAAGTCATTTTTATCACCACCAACATCTACCTCATCTGAAGTATTGTACTAGATGCAATCATTTAATTAAAAAGCTGTTTCTGAGAACATTAAGGAATACCTAATTCTGCTTTGATTTAAAAAAAAATCTGATAAAATATTTCCATATATTTAAACTGTTCCAGGAAATAAGATATAGATATATGGCCAAAGACCATGTTTCTTGTGTTGTGCTAAAAATGTTTAACAGGACTTTTTCTAATGTTGTAATTTGCATTTTCAATATTTTCTCTTGCCAGCTTTAAGGGACAACAGGATTGAGCTGGTTCGAGCTTCCTGGCATGAATTGAGTATCAGTGTCAGTGATGTGTCTCTCTCCGATGAAGGGCAGTACACCTGTTCCTTATTTACAATGCCTGTCAAAACTTCCAAGGCCTATCTCACTGTTCTGGGTAAGTGCAAGGGACTAACAATATGAGATCACAAGCCAAAGCGATGTGATTCCGTAACGAATATATGTTTTGAGGATCATATTAATAGAGTTTAATCCCTGCTCGGCTACATTGTAACAAAAGGCATTTAAAAACCACTTAGTCACTTTGCCCATTTTTGAAATAGACCAGGGAGTTGTAAGGATATGTATAACTTCTCCAGGGCATGTCGCCATTTGTTTCTCAGCCAGCCATAGACACCTGGTTTCTTGATTTTCAACCAAATTCCTTTGTTTCAAATCATCTGTCTATTGTATACATGCTGATCCTTTCATAAAGTCATAGAATAATGGCCAGAGTGAATTCAATGTGTCTACAGGGTGGTCCTCCATTTTATTATTTAAGTCGTCTGATGGAGGCCTTCTCTAATGTTGTACAGCTTTCAAATATACTTCTTTTTGTATATTAGTGCATTTAAATGACCCTGACATTTCTATGTCTTCTTTTAATTGTGTAGGTTTTCTAGATTCTTAAATGAAGTACATAATGTCACTCTCCATGTAACTTGTAGCTTTGTTGTGGTTTTATTTAGAAAATAAAATACTGGGTCTTTTTCCCAAAGGTTAAAGTGATACAAAGAACCATTACATTCTTAGAGATTCCAAGGAAATCAAGTTGCAGCTCAGAGCTTTCTGTGATTCTGCAGACGTCAGTGGCCCAATCAGCTGAAATTGCTGCAGTTCATTGAAACACACCTGTGTACCGAACAAGTTAGAGGAATTTAAAAGATTGATTCTTTTTTTTTTTTTTGCCCCTAGCTTGCCTTCCTTTTTTGATAGATAAAGGCATAACATTGCCTATAAAAGAACTAATGCATGCTGTTCTGTTCGGCAGGAATATTAAAGTTAATCCAGCTAGTGAATTGGTTTTGTACATACGATATGAAATATGTTTCTTTGCGAGTCCCACTGGGACTATTTTATAAAAATCTTCACACGTTTGCCACTACAGACAAAATGTATCCACTAAAATGGAATAGTGCAAGATAACAACTGCCTAAGGTTAATGTATTGTTCTGTAGAGAGCCACCTAGAGACCCTAAGAACAGACAACTGGCTGATTTCAGTTTATTAAATGGTAGTGTGACATAGATTAAACACACACACACACACACACACACACACACACACACACAATATGAATGTGAAAGGGAAAAAAATATTCAACTAATCAGAGCATGTTGACCTGTCATTTATCATGATTGTTATTGTTGTTTTTTTTTTTTCTCTTATTGGTGCTTTCCAACATTCTTACGCTTTTTTAATTTTCAAATTGAATTAAGTACCACAATAATCTTCAGCCTGCCTTTATTATTGAATAATTTTACAAGAAATTTTAATAAGCTTCTACTGTGACAAGAGAATATTATTGCCCAAGAAATGTGTAATGTTCTATTATTTAAATCACCCATGTGATATCTCGGCATATTAGTTATCTGATTATTAGATCGTTTGGACTAGAAAAGGTAATTACTAGTGGTTAGCATTAAATATTAAACATAATATGCATCATGCTTCCCAAAACTACTATTGCATTTCTAATACAAATGACATCAAGATAGTCTTTAGAAGAATCTGAGCAGTGAGTATGGTTGCCATTATTGGTGAATCTTATTCTAAAATACATTTCTTGAACATAGTACATAGAGGTTAATAATATCTTTTAAGCCTTAAGAATTACAAAATCAGGAATGCAAAATGCTATTTTAGTTAAATCACATTTTGCTAAAGAATAAAGAAATGAGCTTTGTAGATTTTTTTCCCCATTGCAAACAATCTACCTTCTTGAATCCTTATATTGATAAATCCTAAGATATATATTGAATGGCTGTTTCTAAGATTTACAGAGTATTTTTGTAGGTAAAGCTTTAAGAGCTACTTTGAACTAAATGCATTTTAAATGCCTCTGGATAATACACACACACACACACACACACACACACACACATACACGTAAAGTAGTTCCCCAACCCAACCCCATCTATAATTTCACCTTTCATAGTTGTTACCCGTGATCAACTGTGGTCTAGAAGCAGATGATCCTCCTTCTGACTTATTGTCAGGCCAATAGTAGCCTAATGTTACATCCCAATGCTTACGTCATTTGCCATGCTTCCTCTTACCACACAGGCATTTTATCTTCTCACATCCTCACAAGAAGAGGGGTGAGTACAGTACAGTATTTTGAGGGACTGCATTCACATAACTTTTATTATGGCATGTTGTTACAATTGTTCCATTTTATGATTAGCTGTCAGTTAATCTTTTACCATGCCTAATTTATAAATTAAACTTATTTTAGGTATGTATGTATAGGAGTAAAATATAGTATATATAGGTTCTGTACTGTCCACAATTTCAGGCATCCACTAGGAGTCTTGCACTGTATCTCCCACAGATAAAGAGAGAGAACTACTCAATATACATATGTATATATCTCTGTTTGTATATATTACATATACACATGGTTTTTATATCTATATACATTATATAGATATTTTAAATGGTTTATTTTATTATGTAACACTTTACTATTTTTGATTGAAGATATTGTCACTTAACAACCCATTTTAGCTTTATGAATGTAATAGTCCTAAGAATGAATCAGCCCTGGAGATTGATGATCGTGCCATTTGCTTAAATTTCAGGTGTTCCTGAGAAGCCTCAAATTAGCGGATTTTCATCACCAGTCATGGAGGGAGACCTGATGCAGCTGACTTGTAAAACCTCTGGTAGTAAACCTGCAGCTGATATAAGATGGTTCAAAAATGACAAAGAGATCAAAGGTAAAAAATGGGGAAAGGTCCCCAAGTCAAAACTGATGTGCTGAAGCTAGAATGAAGTCTTTGATACAAGACATTTTACATTTTCTTTTTTAAATCACAGTCACTTTCTGATTAAGTGTAATTTAAACCAGATTTACCCATTTCTTAAATTTAGTAATTCTACAAGGTATAGTAACATAATCTCTGTATGCCCCATTTTCCTCTTCTGTCTAACAAATCTAAAAATACTATGTATCTCAAAGTTGGAGAAATAAATGAGGTAATGTATTAAAAACACCTACATTCATGCTTGGCAAGAGTGAGCACTAAGTACATGTTAGATATTATTATTTCCAAACTCCTGCATAGTATTTAGATTACAGACAGAGAAATTCCATGAATTATGTCTGCAATTTCTTGGTTTCTGGAATTATAAAGTTCTAAGAGCAAAACTGGCTACACATCAATAAATCTGATTCTTAGTAGTTCTCACAGAGTACAAAAAATATATTCATCTCAGTAAAAATGCACAGTAGTTTAAATATTAAGTACAGATCTGCTCTTACTTCATGCACTTAAACACTTAAACACTTAAATGCATACACACATTCTTTAGCTGGGGAATAAGTTTATAGGGGAGATATCTAGTGAGGTTAGTAGTAATTTCTGTTTATTTGTTTTGTTTTGTTTCTATTTTTTTAACTCCACGTATGGATATCTTGGACCTGATGTCAGATGCACATTAAAATACAATTGTTGGGGGCACCTGGGTGGCTCAGTGGGTTAAAGCCTCTACCTTTGGCTCAGGTCATGATCTCAGGGTCCTGGGATCGAGCCCCGCATCGGGCTCTCTGCTCAGTGGGGAGTCTTCTTCCTCCTCTCTCTCTGCCTGCGTTTCTGACTACTTGTGATCTCTCTGTCTCTGTCAGGTAAATAAATAAAATCTTAAAAAAAAAATACAATTGTTTACGATGATTGTTAAAAATGTTTCCTATGTACATAGAAGTGACGTATTATTCTCAAGGTTACCTGCTAAGGGATAGATTTATGTAAATCATTCTAATTATCTTAACTTGTAATTAAAATATCTCATGTTAGATTAATAATAATTCTTATTAATGGGCCTACAGGCCATTAAAAACAGAAATGATAATACAGTATAGGATCATATGATAAAAATAATGTAATACAGGATTACCTCTATTATAAGAAATTATAGGTTTAAAAAGAAAGAAATTATAGGTTTAAAATCCACTCAGTTATTCTCTTTTTTACTTTAATTATTCTTTCTGTATATTTTTCCCCAAACAAGGGCTTATCTGTAATTTATCTCTAATCACAACTTTCATTACAGATCTTCTATTAAATACATTTTATTAAACAAAATTTGAAGAAATACAAGACCCAGGACACAAGTTAGACATGTTGCTATGCTAAGTTAAACTTTCAGGTTAGTATTTAACCAGATCATATATACTGCTAGGGCTTAGTTATACCCATTCTAATTCTGCCTTTAGGATGTGTTTGTTTGGGCATGTCTGGACTTGGTTAGATCTTTGCTAAATGGACCCTCTACACTGCTTCCAGAGCTTACCACACTATGTTAAGGCTCTGATCCAGCCACTTTTTCTATTTACATACTTCTGATCAAAAGCCCTAACCTGTAGAATAAATTTTAAATCCAACTTCCTTGGCCTGTGAGAAAGCTCCCGTCAGTGAATTCTTACACATCACATATGTCTTTCTGTGTGAAGGGCATGGTTTATGCTAGAATGTTCTTAAGTACTCTCCTTCAGTTGTTTGTAATCCTAGTTCTGACATAGTTTGTTGCTCCCTATTAGCATTTTATTTGTGTTTCGAGGGTTTGTCTCATATTCCCAGGGAAGTCAGAGACTAACATAGTAGGTACTTCATTAATATTGATTGATTGTTTTTACCACTGTAGCCTGATGAGACATCTATAATGTACTCATATTTGAGGATATACCTTATTTTTTTGACAAATATGGCTTCTGCTCTAAATGCCAGATTCAGTTCTATCCTAGGTGAGCAGGAGACTTTTGTTTATATGTAAAAACATAAAAAGTTTGATCCTATAAAACCCATACTTGAAAATCATCTGAGTCAAGACTAGAAAAGAAATCAAGACGAAAACCATATACAGAATCAGCCTAAGTCTCTGTGCGCCTCTCAGAAGTAGTGAGGCCTCCTTTATTTCTGCATTCTCTTATGGGTGGCCATTGAGAGAGCACTCATTATCCCTAAACTTGCATTCATCTACATAGTTTTTTAATAACTCTTCTTTTGCATGTTGATATAGTTTGTCTTCACAATTATACGGTGAGCTTCCTGAGTGCATTAAACTATTTTTATAGGTGTATATGCAAATATGCTGTGTGAGGTACTCTGAACCAAATGCACAGTCATTACTCTTGCTGTCCTGCAGAAATGCTAAGTGAAAGTTCACTCTAAAATCCCTCAGCAGGAGCGCCTTAGTGTGGAGTCTGCTTGAAATTCTTCCTTCGGGGCGCCTGGGTGGCTTTAACCCACTGGCTCAGGTCATGATCTCAGGGTCTTGGGATCAAGCCCCTCATCAGGCTCTCTGCTCAGCAGGGAGCCTGCTTCCTCCTCTCTCTCTCTGCCTGCCTCTCTGCCTACTTGTGATCTCTGTCTGTCAAATAAATAAATAAAATCTTAAAAAAAAATAAAATAAAATCCCTCAGCAAACACTCCTCCTTGAAAGGAACTCTCCATCCTTATCTTGCACTCCTGTCTTTTCAAAGATCAAAATTTGACTTCCTATTACCATTCAACAATTTTTTCTACATTATCACTTGACACTTTTTAAAAAGATATACCCTAGTGTAAAGCAATGGGAAAAGATAACCTAATCAAATCAAATCAAATTAAATTGAATACAAAATTGTTAAAAATGCTTCCCAATTACATAGAGTTCTATCATGCATGAGTGAAGATCCAAATGAAGAAAACAAGAACCTTGACCTGGAGATGTTTCAGATGTCTTTGGGGTGATAAACAAGTTATGGAGAATATTTTCCTCTAAAGAGGAATGTGCAACTGATATAAATCCCGGTTATTACAGTCAAGGGAGAAGATAATTTTGCTTATGTTTTAACTAAGCATTGGCCAGTTCAGCACACTGACACTGTGTTAAGTTTTAGACTCTGTATAATGGATGCATGGAACATCAATGTGACTTCTGACTTCAGGATGAGTCATTTCTCTGTTTGTTTTCCTTTTCCTCTATCACTACCTAACATATGGATTTAATTTTCAAGTTTCTGTGTAAAAGTTGTTTGCAAGTCCTAGAGATCACATTTTCTTGGCCAGGACATTTCCATATTAGATTCTGGAGCACTGCTTCTCAGATTGAGCAGACATCATCACCTATAGTGCCTGTTGAATCTCAGACTATAGGGCCCTGACCCCAGATTTTCTGATGGAGTAGATCTCAGTTGGAGTCCCAGAACATACATTGTCAACACTGTGTCACATGCTCCTGTTTGGGGACCACACTGGTATAGAGAAAAAAAGTTGAGAAGCAGCAGTAACTTGTATAAAAGTCTTGCCTCTGTCTCTGAGCTTTTACAATCCTCATCTCAAAATGCTGTTGCAAGGATATAGTTTGAGCCAATGTATACAAAGTGTTTTCACAGAATGAGGAATCACTAAAACCATTTTACATATTATTATGATTATTACTACTATTATTATCATCTTTACTATCTTCAGCATACCATAATTAATGAGTTGTAACAATCCCTGAATTAGTCCTAGAAATAGAAACAAATAAAACAAAATCATTCCTTCTAGGGGCGCCTGGGTGGCTCAGAGGGTTAAGTCTCTGCCTTCGGCTCAGGTCATGATCTCAGGGTCTTGGGATCAAGCCCCGCATCAGGCTCTCTGCTCAGCAGGGAGCCTGCTTCCTCCTCTCTCTCTGCCTGCCTCTCTTCCTACTTGTGATCTCTGTCTGTCAAATAAATAAATAAAAATCTTAAAAAAAAAAATTTAACAAGTATTGAGGCCCCTGGGTGGCTCAGTGGGTTAAGCCTCTGCCTTTGGCTCAGCTCATGATCTTGAGGTCCTGGGATTGAGCCCCACATCAGGATCTCTGCTGGGTGGGGAGCCTGCTTCCTCCTCTCTCTCTGCCTGCCTCTCTGCCTACTTATGATCTCTCTGTCAAATAAATAAATAAAATATTTTTTAAAAAATATTTAACAAGTATCATAATAGATACATGATCTGGCTATAGATTTTGTACAAAAACAAACAAGCAAACAAACAAACAAACAAAAATGAAGCAGAGAGCAGCTCTACTTTATGAGAGAGGTAAAGATGTAACAGTTCATTAAAGAATGTAGGAACTCAGTAAATAGCTGTTAAATAAATAAGTGGACCTTAAACATGAATGAAATTCATTCTATGGGTTGTGGATACAAGTAAGTAGTAGAGCATTCTAAGGAAAGAAACTATGTATTTATGCAGAATAAAAGCATATTTGAGGTAACCATGGAACTTTCTGTGTAATATAGATGTGAGAGGTAAACAGGAAGACCAGGGCCAATTAAATCTTGGAAGATCTTTTACTCCATATTAATGGGTTTTTAATTTATTCTGTTGGCAATGGTTGAGACTTCTTTTTTTTTTTTATCTATAAGCTTTAGAGAGTAGAATAAAACATAATTTTCATCTATCCTTCCCCTCCTCATCCCCCCGCCATGAGTCTAACTCAGAAATCCCTTTGGTGCCTCTGGAGAGCTCTGTATTCAAAACCATAGGTGGTTTCACTGCAGCTTTTAATCTTCTGTGTAGCAAGGATGTCTGAATATTTGTCATTTAGTGTGGAGAAAAAGATGAACATTGCCTTTTTAAATTTACCAGCTCCCTGTGAACTTATATAAACTTTATAAACTTTTATAAACTTTATTAATTTGCCACTTCATGTATAAGGTTATTTATTTGTAGTTTGAGCAGTTACTATCACAAAATCTTCAGATTTC